TATAAGATTTTTTATAGACCAACATGCATATTGAATTCATTTCGTTAGGTTACTGCAGTTTAAAAATGCAATTACTCGTGTTATTTTTAGATAACTCATTATGTTGCTTTAATAATAATTTGGGTTTCAAACATTTAAATAAGATGAATAGAAGAAGAACAAATATATATAGAGACGAGAACCACAAGCGAAAATGTATAAATTTCTACTTGTTAATTTTAATTGTTTTCTTTAGTGGTTCTTTTATATATTATTTGAATATTAAATTGTTCATAATAGAATTAGAATAACATGGATTTGATTTCCACCGTCTGATTGTTTGTTTCCTTCTTGGTTAATTCTAAACCCCGGGTCGGGTTGTGATAACAACAAGAACCTAGTCAGTAGATATTTTAAATATAACATACTTCTGAACTTTCCATGGTTTGGGTATTGAAGCTATTAGAACGTTCTACTATAGTTTGACTATTATGGGTTGGTCAATCTATGTGTGAAAATCCAAACCCGGTTTTTTTTTTTTGCGGTGCATTCACATAATCGAAGATTCCACGTCAATCTTGATTTGTTTGCTTATAGGCCTAGAATTTAATAGCACTTGAAGGATATGGAGAGCTAATTTTGATTCATATGATTAATTAGAAAATTAGTACAAAATATAGTTTACAATTTTTTTAAAGGTTTAAAATTTACATGAAAAGTTGAACACCATAAGGTGTTATTTTAGGCAAATGGATTTACCCTATTCATGTAAACAAAAGTGATGCCTACGTACCTTGCCTCTCAGGGAATAAAACCGAGGTCCTGCTAGTTTGAAAAGACAAAAAAAATGAAAAATCAAAATATAGAAGATAAAAGACAAACTTCTTGTCCTTAATATAATGTTAGCCAACTTGTAACTAAATTGCCACTTTTTGCACCTTGCATCTTATTATGACACCATAAAGCCTTATAAAAAATCAAGGGGTTACAAGTTTTAAGTTAAAAATTTTGTCTTCGTCTCTAACGGAAGTTGGGAATCTCATCACTCCCTATCATCCGTATTTACAAGCATTTATGTAATAACCTATATATTACAACCCTTGTGACATTCCTATAATCATAATTCTTGTAACAAGTTAATCATAGGCAATTCATAATCATATGCATAATCAACAAGATACGAATACATGCAAGTAAAGATTTCATAAATATGCTCATCGTAATATTAAATAGAAAAATCATAACTATCATCAGTTTCAGTTCAAGCAAGCATTCATGTACATTTACAAATATTCAATAACATGAAAAAAATTTAAATGCATTCATACGTCACAAGAAATTATATCAAAATTCTAGAGAGATCATTTTTTAATTTAGCACAAAATTATTTCACCTGAATCGACGGAGCAGTCCTATAACGAGTTTCATGAGCTCTCATTGAGCTCATTGCCTTGTACAAATAACATGGAATCATTAGCCTATTAGAATTTCATCCCCCACCCCCCCCCCCCGATTTCTTCCTATTCACTCCAATCTTTTCTTCCTCCATTCTCTTTACTCTTCTCTTACCTCTACTTTCTTTGTAGTGACCAGAAACAAAAGGAATACTTCAAATCACAATAAAATGCCAAAACAGATTGTAAGGAAGAAGTGGAATATCTAAAATATCATAAAAATGAGTTTTCTTTTTATCGATTGCCGATTTCTTCCTGTTCTCTCCAATCTTTTCTTCCTCCATTCTCTTTACTCTTCTCTTATCTCTACTTTCTTTATAGTGGTCAGAAACAAAAGGAATGTTTCAGATCACAGTAAAATGCCAAAACATATTGTAAGGAAGAAGAGGAATATCTAAAATATAATAAAAATGAGTTTTTTTGTTTTAGATTTCTTCCTAGAAACCTAAATCACAAATTGCGGATCTTTGTTGTTCGCCCAGACGATCCTCTTACAGTGATGGGATTGTGTACCCTTCAAACCTGCAAAAGTGAATTCGGGGGAGGAGAAAAAATGAAAGAGTCCTAGCCATTAATTCCTCAGACCGTTGCATGCATACATAAGTGTGATGAAAATTCGTTTCTATAATGCAGGAATTTAGAGAGAATTAATTAGGGTGATAAGGATTTATTTAAGCTTATATTTCAAAAATTTATCTCCCTAAACATTAAAAATTCATGCATATTATTATATATTAAATCGACCGATTCAACTTGGAAAATTTTATAAAATTAGCTCGGTTAAATTTCGGGGAGTGTGAAAATTAGGATAATCAAAATGACTAAAATTTTCACCTGATTTCTCAGAATTTGGTGTTTCATAACAGTTCTGGATATTGTCGGGTTAGACTAGATTCAATCTAGTCTATGCGATCCAAGGTCTCAAAAAATGATCTAAGGTATCTTGGGTTTTAGTGTTGAATTTGGATTTTGTCTTCCCCAAAAGTTATCTTTAGATTTAAATAAACTTGCAGTTTTCTTTAGAACCTTATAACATAAGGTAGAGACCGATTGGGGTTCTTCAAAGTCATAGAGGTCCTATGAGATAGATTTAGTATTAGGTAAGTCAAAAGTTCCAATGGGGTGCATCCTGGGCTTTGATTTTTTTTTTATAGTTTTATTTTATTTAGGTTTTTAAGCTTTTGCCAATGTCGAGGTTATTAGGAAACCATTAAAAGAATCTATAGGAAGATCCTAGTCTTAGGAGGAATCTTAAAAACCAAGGTTTGACATAAAGGGAGAGTTTGTCAACCTCATTCAAGTTGAGGTAAATAGCACATTGGCAAGTGTGTTGAATTCTCCATGTACTAACTAACGGTCTTTATGAATATGATGGAAAAAACTAGCGTAGATAGCCATAATCAAAGTATATTTACATTTAAATGTAATTGATACATTTAAAAAATGGTTACTTATAGATATTAAGTTATAATTAAAACCATTATTCCAAAGCGATTAGATCTTATCGTTGAGTTTAGAAAGGGCCCAAAAAACCAAATTTGTATCTTAAGTTATTGATTTTATTAACAAATATCATTGGTTTAATAATTAAGGAGCTAAATTTTGTGGATTAATAAGAGCTTTTTGATACGAGACCAAGAGGACACCTTAGACACCTTGCACGTTTAAAATAAGAATCCCAATCTCTCGGAAGACAAAGATCTAGCTATGTAGTAGAAGAATCGGACATACCCAACTTCCCATTCCTTTTTTTTTTCTAATGGATTGATAAAGGGATGATTCTCAGGTACACTATGCTTGCATCTTCTCACTTGATCATCGAGATGAGTTCGAAGGTGAAATGATCATCTTTCAAGTTGCAGGTTACACCTTTTTAATCACGATCCTTACTAAGAACAATATGAGAAATATGAAGGAATATCTAGCCAAGGGGGCATCTATATTAGTAAAATCCATCTCAATATTAGGATTAATGGAAACCTAATATGAGATAGATGAATCACTATTTAAATGATCTGACTCTGTGTATGGCAAAGTTTGGATAAGTATCAAAGAAGGCATATTAGAATCAACATTAGGTGTTAAACCCATAGCATGGATCTCATTAACAAGGCACGTCTAATAATTAGGCAAAAAAAAATAATGTACTTTATCGATATTCACTTTACAAAAGTTTGGACGAGTATTAGGATGCATTCCCTTGTTTTCTACATTTTTATTAGCATATAAGGGGTTTTTGAATTAAGTTGCTCAAGTTATGGATGAGCCACAAAAACAAGAGTTAGGAATTATTCCTATGTTTAAAGGAAGACGAACAGTAACTTTGTAAATTCTTTATAATCACTTGCTTAAGAATATCATATGTATGAAATGAAATTTTTTGAGAAAAACTTGGCAGAATATCCATTTTCCACCGAATCACTAACCATTGAAGGCCCAGTAAGTTTAGTAGTAATGGAATGCATGGAAACTTAAGAAGTGATGCAAATGAAAATAAAGTGTGATAAAATGAACTTGAAGTTTTGAAAAAAATAATTCACATTGGCAAGATATGACATTCTCTCTTAGGGTTGAACCTAGTGGTTCACTGGGACTTGCAAGGAAAGCCGAGAATAAATAAAATAATGAGAGGAGATCTTCATATAATCATCCTCACTTTCAACCCTAATGAAAATATATTTGCTATTTATAAGGCCAATAAAGTCTGAACCATTCAATTTCAAACTAGGGAAAAACTTTATTTTGTCTATTGTATTTGAACAACACAAATTTATGGATTTACCTACTTAAGGCAAATCAAATTCTTTGCAAGAAATTAAATCTCATATCTTGAGAATGCAGAAGTTAGTAAACCATCTTGCATAAAGCTAATTTCAGAACATCAGGGTTATTGAAAAGAGTTTTAAAGCCATAGCGTTATTACCCAACTTAATCAAGGAAACTAATCCTGAGGTGATGAGCTCAATTAGCCCGCCAATTTCAAAAGTGCGACCAATGAATTCATCCCTATGTTGGATTGAGGAGAGAAGTTGTTGGTAGTCGGGTTATTGAAATCACGTGGAGAGAAGCCAAACTCAGTTTGTGGTGATGTGATTCCTGTTTGGGAGCTAAATTTCTTTTTGGTGGAGTTTGACGAGGAAAGAGTTTGGTGTGCAAGTCGGGATCTCGGCATCGTTCGTCAAGGAGGCACATCCCTACATTGATTGTGGAAAGGGCAGATCTTGTCACCCTTTGAATGAGGAGGTGAATCATGGTGTCGACGAGGTGTTATGCGATGCCAATTATCAAGTAATGGAAGAGCACAATTCTCATCATCCCAACAAGCACTCCCAAATTATAGTTTTAGCTGGAATAATAGTCAATGATGCAACATAATTTCTCATTTATATGGCGATGGCTTGTGATTTTAGACTGAGCTGTGCTAATTTTTTTAATTGTAATGGAGCTTTAATATCTTATGGAAGTTCGGCTTCAAACTTTTTCTTTCTGTTTATTTTCTTTAATGCATATGAGATTTTTTAATGGCATTTTTATCAAGATCAAATTTTATGAAATTTCAATATGCAGGTATTGACTAGTGCAAAAGCATTAGTTGTTGTGCAAGTCTTGATGTTCATTTTACCTCCTAATGTGCTTGCGGAGACATGCAAGACTGAAAACTCTTTTTTCAACATGCCTTTTCTGTTCATAATAGCCCTTATTGGGGCTACTGTTGGTGGTGAGTGTTTTTTATCTTGTTTTACTTGAATTATTGGTTGTGTAGAATTAGTTGTTTGGTTTTATAGTATTTGTTCTTAGAATTTCTTTGAATTTATTGATTATTAATTTATAATGATTGGTTGGCTTTTATTGATGCCTACAATGTAATTTTTACAATAAATATACTTGAAATGTACAAATAACAGTTAAATCATTTTTCAATACCTTCATTTAAGATGTGTTATTGAATTGATAAAGGGTTGGCATACCACATTGGTCAACACAAATAGAGATTGAGTCAGTTGCTTGTAACCATGATCTAGGGAGCCTTTTATAAGAAAGTAGCCAATTTTTGGAAAGTGGTTAAAAGTTAAAATTTTGTCAAGGTGACTTGGTCATTTGGCTGATATGTTTTTGACTGTTGTTTGAATAACTCTCTTCACACCTCATAACCTAAAGAATACTGTGATTAATAAACCAAATATTCTAATGACTTTTTTATTCTAGTATTTCTCTTCGCTAGATTAGGTATCTTACTATGCATTTTGACTATGATGATCATGACAATGTTGTTAGCTATCTTCATCAATGTGCTACTTAAAAATAATTGATGCAATGACTATTCTAACGTTTGAGGTGGAGTTTAATGATATTTAATTTTATTTGCTGTGAGGGGATGCATGGGAACTCGATTCAGTTGCTTGTAACCATGATCTAGGGAGCCTTTTACAAGAAAGTAGCCAATTTTTGGAAAGTTGTTAAAAGTTAAAATTTTGTCAAGGTGACTTATTCATGTGGCTGATATGTTTTTCACTGTTGTTTGAATAACTCTCTTCACACCTCATAACCTAAAGAATACTGTGATTAATAAACCAAATATTCTAATGACTTTTTTATTCTAGTATTTCTCTTCGCTAGATTAGTTATCTTACTATGCATTTCGACTATGATGATCATGACAATATTGTTAGCTATCTTCATCAATGTGCTGCTTAAAAAAAAAATTGATGCAATGACTATTCTAACGTTTGAGGTTGAGTTTAATGATATTTATTTTTATTTGCTGTGAGGGGATGCATGGGAACTCGACGGAAGTGTTTGTGTTTGAAAGGTTTTTAGAAGGTGGATATCCAAATATAGCTATGATCTAGAAAGGGATGGTGAGGTTTATGTTGATTTTTTGGTCGCTGATTTTATGTGGAGCTTAAGAGGGGGTTTATTTGTTAAGGTATGATCGGTGTTAAGTATTCTTTAGGAAGTTAAGGACGTTATGAATAAGGATTTAGAGTTATTTAGAATATTTATGTGGAGGTTTTGATGTAGAGAGTGAAAGGAATGTTGGCTGGCTGAGTTTGGACAAATTTTGGGTGGCTTAGCTATTTTGTAAATAACTTGTTGCAGGGATGTGAAAGCTTAAAAGAAGCTCCAAAGCATTCAAAGGACATATATAAATGAGAAATTTAGGGAAAGGAATCATAGAAAAAAATTAAAATAATAAGCATTAAACTTCTTATCAAAGAGGGATATCTAAAATCACCACACAAAGGATTAGGGTTTAGCAGCTTAGCTTTTCCTTGGGAGAATGATAAGTCTTCTCTAAATTTTTGTATTACTTATATAAGCATTACACATAAGGAGAAGATAAGACAAATTAATGGCACTCAACGGCAGTCAACTTACAATAAATACTTGTGTGCTATTTTTTTTTTTTTTTGGCTTTGTGTCTCCCATCGTCTAATCTTACAATAAATACTTGTGTGCTATTTTTTTTTTTTGACTTTGTATCTCCCATTGTCTAAGTCTAAGTATTTCTGTTCGCTAGACTAGGTATCTTACTATACATTTTGACTATGATGATCATGACTATGTTGTTAGCCATCTTCATAAATGTGTTGCTTAAGAAAATTCATGCAATGGCTATGCTAACGTTTGAGGTGGAGTTTTATGGAAGTCATTTTATTTGGTGTGAGGGGATGCATGGGAAATCGATGGAAGTGTTTGGGTTGGAAGGTTTTTAGAAGGTGGATATCCAAATATAGCTATGATCTAGCAAGGCATAGTAAGGTTTGTGTTGATTTTTTGGTAGGTAATTTTATGTGGAGCTTAAGAGGGGTTTATTTGTCGAGGTATGATGGGCACGAGTATTTTTTTAGGAAGTTAAGGACATTATAAAAAGGGATTTATTCTGAATATTTATGTGGAGGTTCTGATGTAAAGATTGAAAGGAATGTTGTTTGGTTGAGTTTGAACAAATTTTGGGTGGCTTAGATATTTTGTAAATAACTTGTAGGAATGTGAAAGCTTAAAGAGAAGCTCCGAAGTATTCAAAGGACATTTATAAATGAGAAATTTATGGAAAGAAATCATGGAAAAAAAATAAAAATAATAAGTATTAAACTTCTCATCAAAGAGGGATATCTAAAATCACCAAACGAAGGATTAGGGTTTAGCAGCATGGCTTTTCCTTAGAAGAAAGATAAAACTACTCTATATTTTTGTTTTACTTATATTAGCATGATACATAAGGAGAAAATATGAAAAATTAATAGCAGTCAACTTATAATAAATACACGTGAGCTATTATTTTTGACTTTATAAGTTCCATCGTTTAATTCTATTGAATAAAGTTGATGGAGTTGGAACAATACTTTAAAAATTTTGAAAGAAAGTTTTCCATGCTTCTTTTGGCTTGAACTTTGATGATTTGACAAGGTAAGATGGCAATGGTGATATGACTCTGTGGATATACTTGGATGATGTTGCATTGTGGATGCCACTTTGATCAAAATTCTAGCTGATATTATATTTTTCATATTTGATATTCTTATGTTGCAAATGACATTCTTCTTGGGTTTAAATGTAAAATAACATAAAAATAGCAAAATTTAAAAGAATCAATATGTGATAGTAGCCATGGATTTGTTGATTGATTTGTGATAAAACTGTCCTGCATTAGAAGAATTGTTCTTAGAAGAGTTAAAGCTATGTATCCATCCTGCAAATTTGGGGCAAGCTTTTCTGACTAATTTATGGCAACCAAAGGTCATCAATAGCTGAGTGATCCTTCCATGTTTTGCAGTTGTATAAGTAAGCGGGTTATAGGTATTGATAGAATCCACCTTCAGTGAGATGGCTTTTGAGGGCACAATCAACTTATCTTCAAGCTCACCTGCAATATAATTTGTCTCCTAATTCTTGGCTGCTTAATAGCATTTTAAGATATAGCATCTTCTATACTAAAAGTAACCTATAAATCATATCAAATTAATTCTTGGCTGCTTAATAGCATTTTAAGATATAGTATCTTCTAAAAGTAACCTATAAATCATATCGAAAGGCAATTTTAAAAAGTCAGCATTTATTCTAGGTTTTCTTAAAATTTTAAATGTAACACATTGCCATTATTTGTAATTTGTTTAGTTTGGTCCAATGATATCACTTAGGTCTAACGCATATAAAAAAATAATTATATCATTATATCGTCTATGAGATCTCTTGTGATTAATTGCTTCAACATATTTTTAGTTGCTAATTTCAAATTGCTTTCTATTAGATTCATTTAAACCAGAAAAATAATTTACAAATGTAAATGCTGGATTAAAATATGCATGAGATAGAACTTATGCAAGATTATGG